GGTCTAAAGACGAGTGATTCACATCACATATCAAAGCCTTTTCTTGTATCTACAGGCTCTTCCCCCTCTGATGTTAAAAGAAATGCAGACGTTTTCATGGGGCCCTAAAGGCATCATGTCCCTGCATTGTCTCCCCTGGCCTGGAGAAGTCGTGCCCCCACGCCAGTGGCTTCGGCTTCCCTGGGGTCACAAATGACAGGCAGCCATGCCCGGGTCCCTCGTCCGTCTCCTCTTTTTCTTTTCCACAGAGGCATTTCCAGGTTATAGATCTGCTATGCTCTGAAACCTGGAGACATTTACTTTTATTGTTATTTGTAGCAAAGCTTCTCAGGGCAAGAAACCTAATCATATATTATTTGAAAATAGAAAGCTCTATGCAAATGCGAAGTCCAGTATAATAATAGTGACGCCAAGTAATTCTGTTGTGAACGACTTGAACTTGTTAAATCAGACAGACGCCATCTGCGCTATTTAAAGTCTGTGCTAGTGTTATGTTTTATGCAAAAATGCTTGTTGTAGGAAAATTGCTGAATCTCCCAAAAAGTGCTTTTCTCTGTGGTTGGGCTCGCTGACGCTTCCTCTTGGGAATGGGATGACCGCTGTGAGCAGGGAGCAAAAGCAATCGAGCATCTATGGGGCACCTACTGACTGCTGCGGTCTCTGCCCCTCTGATTTCAGATGAGCTCCAGCTGGAGCTCAGAGAGTATGGAGAACTTGCCCAAGGTTACGCTGATAGGCTATGGAGTCAGGATTTGAATTCAGGCCCTCTAATTCCAAGACCGTCACTTTTTCCAATGAATCTCTAAAATCATTTCTGCACAGGACTTGAAAATCAAGGGCAACCTCTGATTTTTTTTTTTTCCTCTTGGGAGAGCAGCAGCAGAATGAAGTTTGGGCTCCAGCAAGTAGAAAAAGTCTTCTTGGCAACGGGGGTGACCGGGACAACTTGGCTGTCTCTGGGGTGCATTAAAACCATTTTTCCCTCAGTTCTACCACCCGTAGTGACTGGATTAGTTTCCCAGGGTTGCCGTGAAAAAACCTGCCAGCAGCCAGGTGGCTGAAACAGTTGTTGTGATGGAGGGCCAAGGTCTGCACTCACGGTGTTGGTGTCGCCGGGCTGCTCCTCCCAGGGGCCCTCGGGGAGGGTCCTGCCTCACCCCTGCGGCTCTCTGAGGCCACTAGTACCCGTGGCTGGGATGTATCCATCTGTCTCCACACCACATGACCTCACGTGTATTCATGTGGCCTCCTCAAAGGGACCTTAGTCACTGAATTAGGGCCATCCTAATCCAGTACAATCTCATTTTAACTAGTCACACTTGCAAAGATGCTTTTGCAAATAGGGTCACCCTCTGAAGCCCCAGTGAACTGGGGAACACCCTGCAGCCTATGAGGGTGAAGACCCTGGACATGTGGCTCATGCTAGGTGGTGCAGACTCCACTTATGAGAGCTGAGCCCTTCCCATGAGGACTTCAGCCTCCATCTGGGGTCTCGGCTAGACACTCACATCCCATTGCCCAGGGGACTTTGGGGGATGATCGGGCTCTTGCAGGGAAGGTGAGGGGGCTACAGGAAGTTGGGGTGGAGTGGGTGGTGTCTGTCCCACCCCCTCAATTGCCTGGTCAGGTGTTTGTGCTCTGGGTCTCTGGTTGGACACTAGGCTGCCCCTGGCCTTTCTCCCCGGTGCCTTCTGACCCTCCTGGCTCGAGCATAGTCTTGGTTGCCCTAGCTGGCCAGCAGCAGGTGGCAGAGGCTTCCTGACCACTGTCCCCAAGGCTGCCTCCTTGGGTCTTCACCCCCCTCAGAGGAGCGTCCTTCTTGTCCCCTTGGTCAGCGTGAAAAGCTGCCGCACAGTCTTCGGCTGGTCTTCCCCTAGTTCAGAGCCTGGTGGGCCTCAGGGAAGCGACCACAAGCGTGTACCTGAGAGCCGGCCTGCCCCGCGGGGAGGTGGAGCGGGGAAGGAGTCCACAGATCTCCTGGGGGGTCTGTAATGAAAAGGGCTGAGATTCTCCTGTCTGATCCCCCTTGCTGCAGCTTCAGCTGCAACAGTGACAGTGACTTCACTGGTGCACATCATGCTAGCTTCATGTTCTGTACACCTTCCATCCCTTTTGCTCCCAGTCCTCACGGCAGCTCTACGAGGCAGCCATCAGTGTCTTCATCTTCATCTGAGCTCAGAGAAGCTAAATGGCTTGCCTGAGGCCACACAGCTCTAAAACCTAGACCTTTGTCCCAAAAGGGGACCTTTCCTCTGCCTGAGGATTTTTGAACATAGGAGGTGCCTGTCCTCCAAGCCTCTCCTCAGTCTGTTCGTGATCTGGTAGAAGGCTACTAGGCGTTGAATTGTGTCCTCCCAAAAGATACGCCAGTGCCCTCACCCCTACTCACTTTCCTTGTGAACGTGAATTTGTTTGTGAACAGGGTCTTTGCAGATGTGATCGAGTTAAAGTGAGATCCTGCTGGTTAGGGTGGGTCCTAGTTCAGTCACCAGTGTCCTCAGAAGAAGAGGAAATTGACAAGGTGGGGGCCACATGGCCATAAGCCACTGAACGGTCAGGAGCCAGAGGCACTAGGAGAGAGGGCCGGAAGAGATGACCCCAGGACTCCAGAGGACCAGGCACAACAGCACTTGGCTTCTGAACCCTGTAACTGTGCTGTGGGGTGTTGATTTAAGTCACTGTGCTTGGGGTTCTTTCTTTGATGGTGCAGCCCAAGGAAATCAGTGTCAAAGCTCTATCATTTTCCAAGATGACATTGAAGGGGCTGGGGATTTAGCTCAGCGGCATTAGCGCCTGCCTTGCAATCCTGTGGTCGTGAGTTCGATCCCTGGTACTGGTAAAAATGCAAAAAAAAAAAAAAAAAAAAGAAACACAAAAATGACATTGGGCTACTAGACTAAAGGAGTGTGTGTGTGTGTGTGTGTGTGTGTGTGCCCACATGTCTGTGAGTGCTCCTCCCCCATCCTGTCGCCTTCAGTCCTTTTCTCAGCCTGCATCTCTGCTTCAGCCCCACCTGTAACCCTCATGTTTTGCCCTCTGGATGGAGCATGGCTCCTCCTCTCCCGTAGAAGGCGGGGGTGATGAGAGGTGGTCACAGGGGGCACTTGGCCACTAAACTTCCCCGCCGTGCCTTCTCCCATGGGCACATCACCTGATGGGGTCTGCAGACTCTGCAGAGCCCAGGTTGGAAAAATGTTTCCCACAGTTCCCATCATGTGACCTTAGGCAAACCCAGCACCTGTGTAAGACAAACAGAGCTTAAACTGGAGATTGTAAAATTGCACAGCCAGAGGGTGGAGCGAAAACCAGGGGAGTGGAATTAATGTGCAGAGTGCCAGCGAGTTCCTGGAGAAAGGCCCCAGGGCTGCCCCTGTGGAGGAAGCTGACGCCAGCCGAGGGGATCCATCTTCACAGAAGGCTTTGCAATGCGATAAATGCAGCGTATAATGTCTAATAAAATTCCCCAAGAGTTAGCAGTCTTCAACATAAGGAAATAAATTCTCCCAAAATGAAAACACCAGTAGGGCCTGGGGATATAGCTCAGGGGTGTCGTAGCGTCTGCCTGGCAGGTGTGATGCCCTGAGTTTGATTCCTGGTACCAAAAAAGAAAAAAACCAACACCAGTATCTGTGGAGAGGCGGAGACCCGTGGTGTGGTGTCCATAAACCATTTGAAGATCCTGGGAAGGAGTTGGCTCGGGAAGCCCCTGATCATTTACCGGGGTTTTGACTGTTGCTGGTCCCCAGGGTGCTGTGGGTGGGATTGATTTTGGTAAGTCTCAGAAAGGACAAATAGACTGAGGGCACCCAGCCCTCCACTCACCTGAGTCTTAGGCTAGGGTTGGGGAGCTGACTTCAGGGGCTCCCTGTAGACCAAGTCTTGCCACTCACCCCCAAAGTCAGAGACAGTCATGGTGAAGGGGGAAAGGAATTTCCCCAATGCTGAGAAGGAAAGTGGTGACTTCTGGGGCAAACGAGGTTTTACATGGGAAAGATCTGGAAGGGGGGCAGGGAGTGTGTATAGGTAAGCAGCTTTAATCAGGCTGGGGCCTGGTGGGTCAGGATCTTTGGATGGCCAAGCAGTGTGCTCCTTGGGGACAGCAAGGTCAAATTTCGACCCTTGACGCAGTCATGTCATAGGACCTGTGGCTCCTGGAGTCCAGGGTGACTGCAGTAGAGAATGACTGGACAAGGAAGTCCGAGAGGCAAGGTGGACTGAGTTAGAGCGACGAGTGGGGTTTGGTGGCTGCCTGGACAGGGTACTGTAAAGGTGGACAGCTGACAATCCGTTGATCATGATCCCCTAGCAAATCTTACTGCTACCCCAGTTACTCTTAGCTTGGTGTGGCCAGCGTTGAAGGGGAAGCTAGCCCAGGGGTGCAGGCCTGCTAGACCAGCGCTTCCTGAATAATTAATATTCCTGGGGTTGGGGATTTAGCTCAGTGGCATAATGCCTGCCTTGCAAACAGGCAGTCGTGAGTTCGATCCCTGGTACCGATAAAAACGAAAAAGACAAAAAAAAAAAAAGATTGTCTAAAAAAAAAAAAAAAACCAAAACAAAAATAATTAACATCCCTGAGCTAAGTGGGAATCCGACCCAAGGCTTCAGGTAAAAGAGAAGACAGATGCAAAGTGGTGGGAGAGATGCCGGGTTCTATCCTGCTGTTAGTCACCTGTGGGGCCTCTGTAGGCCCAGCTGGGACTTTGAGCAGCTAAGTCCCCTGTGCTGGGGGGTTCTGGCTCTGCCCTTTGACCCGCAGCAGGATGTGGGTTGGCACATACGGAGGTGGGCTTTCCATAAGTGTGCAGTGTGTGCCTTGGATGGGGGCTCCTGTCCATCCCCACCAGCTTGACCCCTAGTCCTGGGGGCAGGGGAGATCCATGGAGCGGGACTTGGGTGCCTGGAGTGCTGCTGACCCTGCTGCTGATGGTGACTGACCGAAGCCATCCAGAGGTCACCCAGGCGGATTCTGCTGCTCAGCTCCGGCTTCTCCCACCCAGGCTCTCCCCTGGGGCCGGCCTCATGGAGCGGATCCAGGCCATTGCCCAGAATGTCTCCGACATCGCCATGAAGGTGGACCAGATCCTGCGTCACAGTCTGCTCCTACACAGCAAGGGTGGGTGCAGGCGGGCGGCCACTCTCCCCAAGGCTCAGGCACTGGGTAGGGTGCCCTGAGGGGGCAGGATACCTGGGGAGGCCCAACTTCTCCCGATGACAACTCTCCTGGGTCTTTGGGGTCCCACTCCAGGCAGGTTGGAGGACCTGGGGTTCACCCCAACCTGCCCTGCCTGAGGGTGCTGAGGACAGGAGGTGCCTGGAGTCCTGACTACTGAGGTCCCAAGAGCCAGGCCAGCTTAGGAAGGGTCCCAGGGTCCCTCCATTCCCCTTGATGGAGGAGCAGCTGGCAGGGTAGGGATGGGGTGGGGTGTCACAGGCCTTTCTCTGTCCACTTCAGAAAACTGGAGGTGAGTTTAGGTGGGTACCCGAATCCTCTCCACCCTGCTTCATAGGTCTCCTGACAGCCCCCGACTGGCTCTGAACCCCCAGGGAAGACTAGGGGTTTGGGGAACAGCTCAGATCCAGGGACTCCTTGGGGTGGGCTGTCGACTAGTGAGTGGCCTTTCGGATGAGAAACTGAGGTGAGGGAGACGGGACAGAGCATTCTGCCTTCGCCCTCTCTCCTGGGGCACGGGGCTTCTGAGAGCTGATGTCTCCCTGACCTCTCCCTGCAGTGTCTGAGGGCCAGCGGGATCAGTGTGAGGCTCCCAGCGACCCCAAGTTCCCTGACTGCTCTGGGAAGGTGGAGGTAAGGCCTGGAGCTGGGGCTGGGCTGAGTGTGGTGGGTGTGGGGAGGGCAGCCACACACAGCCTGGCCCCGAGATTCCCATCCTGTCTGGGCTGCCCACTGGCAAGGCCTCTGCCCAGCCTGTGCCCCCTTACCCTGGCACCGGCTGGTCAAAGCAGCCTCGGGGCAATGGTTTCTCTGTTGGACCCCTCCCGGCCACCGGCTCAGACCCTCAGATGACTTTCTTCACAGCCAGGGAACTGCTGAATTGTGTCCTGCCCCCAGAAACCCAATTCCCAGCAAACTCAGGAGTGACCCTCGATCACCTCACTCTATTCCTGAGCCCACAGCTGAGCCCACAGCTGGGTTGAGGGCCCGCTGGCCACCTCCAAGGCCATCTCTGGCTGCATGATGACATCTGGCCGTATGGAAAGCCCATCCATGACCATAAAGCCAGATCCTCACTGGTTCTGGACCCCAAAGGGGTGGGCCACAGTCTCCTTTGGGAACCACTATGGAGGGTATCACACCCTCCCTGGGTGTGATAGGGAACCCAGGGAACCACACCATCCCTGCCTGCTTGAAGACCACCCCGTGACCTTAGCCCTAGCCAAGGGAAAGGCGATGAGGACCAGATGACAAAGGAGACAGCCCAGCCTGCGCTGCTGCCCTCCTGGCCCTCCCCAGAGCCTGGCCACCCAGGGTCTTCTTTCTAGGCCTGGTCTCTGTGGTCTCTAGTGGCCAGGGCAGAGGTCTGGGTCCTAGGGTTAGCTTCCTGCCTCAGTTTCTGTTCTCTTCCCTTCCCTGCTGTGTCCTTAGGGAAGAGCGTGCCCCATAGACCCTGTTTTGGGGACCTTAGGATCCCTGGGAACATGTGTGCATGGGAGCCTGCTAGGGTGGGGTGGGTATTGCCGGCCACCCGCCCAGGCCTGCCTCTCCACAGTGGATGCGCGCCCGCTGGACCTCTGACCCCTGCTACGCCTTCTTCGGGGTGGACGGCACCGAGTGCTCTTTCCTCATCTACCTCAGTGAGGTCGAGTGGTTCTGTCCTCTGCTGCCCTGGAGGAACCAGACGAGGGCTCAGAAGGCCCCCAAAACCCTCCCCAGGGTCCAGGTAGGCACACCTGTGGGCTCCTCAGCCGATCAGCCCCAGGGCTAATGGGGTGAAACCTCAGGACTGGCCGGCAGAGGAGGCCATCCACCCTGCAGGCTGTGGACTTGACCCCCTTCGTGAGAGAAGCTGCACCCTGGAGGGCGGCTGGGGTCCAGGGGCACCCCTTTGATGGACCTGGATAACAGCAGTAAAAGCCATCAGGGGCTGAGGCATATGCTAAGGCATACGGTGACAGTGGCCCTGCGTAGAGGCAGCCGGGCACCTGATGCTGACCGCTTCCATCGTCCGGGACCCTGGGCACTGTTATCACCAGTCCCCTCTCTGGAAGGGCTTGGGACAGGTGGTTGGCAGGAGCTGGACCGGGACACACCAGCTTGGGGGGCAAAGCAGGGTCCCTTGACCTTGGGCTCAGAAGAGCAAAGCTTGAGCAGACCCCACCTTTACATAGGGGGCGCTGCAGGGCTGGGGCTAAGACAGCTGGGGTCTGCCGTGTACCCCAGGCAGTTTTCCGGAGCAACCTGTCCCACCTCCTGGAGCTGATGGGCAGCGGGAAAGAGTCACTGATCTTCATGAAGAAGCGAGCCAAGCGGCTCACGTCCCAGTGGGCGACTGCTGCCCGTCGCCTGGCACGGAAGCTGGGTGACATTCAGAGGGACCAGAAGCAGGTGCGACTTCATCTTGGGGAGTGAAGCCCGGGGATCTCGGGTAATATACTCAGGGCCTGTGGCTTCCAAGGGGACATGGAGTGGGCCCTCCAGCTAGTGGCACTGAATTTCTTTGAATTTGGTCCAGAAGAAGAGGCAGGGTGGGGGTGGCAGGGTCAGGGTGGAAGCAGGTGAGTTCTCTGGCCTCTTGCTGGGCTGGGGCAGAATGACAAGCTCCGGAGGGCCTGAGGGACCCTGCATTCCTTGGACATCTTGTTCTGGTCAGGCAGAGCAGTCCCAGCTTTGGCCTGGAAGGCTGGGAATCCCACCTGTGTTTGGGCCGTTTGCTAGTCCCTCTCTCCTCTCATTCGTGCGTGCACAGGACTCTCACACTGCCCTGTTTATTTCTTGCAGAATTTCTGTCATTTCATGAAACTGTCTCTTGTCTGTGTTTACTGTTGTCCACGTTTTCCATCTGGAACGTAAGCTCCGGGAGGCAGGACTGTGACCGCCCTATCCCCTATGTCCCCAACACCTGATGCGGTCACTCTAATGCCCAAAACTCTAGTGCCCAAAAGGGCCCAGCAAGGTCCAGCCTGGAGGCAGCGTGTGCTGCGGCTGGCCTCCTGCCTGCTGTCCTGGGGTGGGGGCAAGGCTGAGGGCCACTACTTCACACTGACCCTCTCTGTCCCGCTGGCAGATCCTCGTGCACATCGGCTTCCTGACGGAGGAGTCTGGGGACGTGTTTAGCCCGAGGGTGCTGAAGGGCGGGCCCCTGGGGGAGATGGTGCAGTGGGCAGACATCCTGGCTGCTCTCTACGTGCTGGGCCACAGCCTGAGGGTCACCGTGTCCCTGAAGGAGCTGCAGAGGTGAGTGCTGGGGAGAGCCACTGCCGGCCTCTGCTAGGATGGGGCGGGGGTAAAGGAGAACCCCTTGGGCCCAGGGGCTGCCGCAGGGCCGTGGAGCCTGGAGGCTTCCTGGTTCTCTTTCAGCCATTCTCTCCTCTCCTCTACTGCCTGCTTCACGTGCCCCCCGCCCCGCCTCCTCCTCCACACTGACACCTGCTCACATTTGGGGTGCACCGAGAAAGGGTGCCCAGCGTGATTCAGTCTCCCGGTCTCTGTCTCTGGGAGGTGTGGAATTTGTGCTAGGGACTGACAAATTTTGGCTCTGAGGCTTGAGCCAGCCCATGCCCATGGGGTCCTCTCTGCCTGCCTTCCCTGTGGCCATGCTGATTTCTCTCTGGAACTGGTTCCTCTGTGGGCCTGTTGGTGGGTTTGGGGATCAGTAAGACTTGGAGGTTGCTGGGATGCATGAGCAATGCCTACTCTTTCCTGAGGCCGGCTGGGCTTTCAGAGACCCTGGATGCTGTGGGAGGTGTACCGCTCCCCCCACACTTGCAGGGAGGGTGGAGCTGAAAGGCTGTGAGTGTGTGGGGTGTCGAGGGAGTCGGGGTGTGTGTATGGGCTTGGGTTTATTTTTATCCATCCTATCTGTGGGATGTAGAAATGCATATGATTTTTCTTCCTTTATATTTATTACATGATATTTGATATGTACAAAAGTATGTATAAAATACGCTGTGCTACACACAAAGCCGTCTACCTTAAGGTGGTGAATATTACTGAGGGCCCTGTGTCCACCTTCCTTCCTGCCCTTCCACCCGCTCCCCCAAACCCTGTAATGTGAATTTTGTGCTTATACTTTGCTTTGTAAAACAATCATTAATTAGTTTTCTTTTTCATATTTGTGTATCCATAAGTAATGTGGCTTAGTTTTGCTTAGTTTGGTTTTGTTTTGAGATTCATGAGTGACATAGAGGCCGGGGATTTGGCTCAGAGGCGCAGCACCTGCCTGGTAATCGTGAGGTCCTGAGTTTGATTCTCGGTACCCACCCACCCCCCCAAAAAGTGACGTCTGCTGCCGAGATCAGTGGTACACATTTGTAAGCTCAGTTTGGAGGGCTGAGGCAGGAGAATTTCAATTGTGAGGCCAGTCTGGGCAACTTAGTAAGTAAAAATGCAAAGGGTTAGATATGTAGCTCAGTACTGTTAGGGTCCAGTGTCCTGTACCTCAAAAAACAATACAAAAAAGCCACAAAGGCATCTACGGTGAACGATCTCTGCCACTTGTTATTTTCGTTCATTATTTTTCAAAGACCCACCCGTGAGTGTGTCATATTACTGATCAATGAATACAGTGTCTATCAGTGTTTCCTGTTTTTAGCTCTTTTTCCTATTGTAAATTTCTTTTTTTGTACAATACATGCTGCAGTGGGCACTCTCGGATGGCATCCGTGTAAGAGTTTTCAGCCCCTTTGCGCGATTGTCCCAGGGCTGGGCGCTCTCTCTGGACGCTGGTGCTGAGCTCAGTGTGTAAGTACCACCATCAGGGACAGCCTCCTCTGTTGCTGTACATCGGAGAGACACACTGCGCAGCTGATACCTGATTAGCATCAGTTTCTCTTGAATATAGACTTCGGGGCACCGTGTATATGTTTAGGGTGTGTGCAGATCCAGCTTCGCGGGGTGATGCCAGAAGCTCACATCCCAGCCTCGGGTGTTCCTCTGTGGCCACACCCCACCGCCTTTGTGATTGTCAGGCTTTTTAAGAGCAGGCAGAACTGGTATCATGATTTGTCTTGTTGCTGTCTTAAACTTGATTTCCTGACAACCAACAGGGTGAGCATCCTACCCCATACACATTTGCTACTGTTTCTTGCCAAAAATGCCCATAAAATGCCCATACGTGTCGTTTGCTCGCCTTTCTGCTGGGTTGTTTTCTGTATCGAATTGCAGTGGCTATTTATATATGACACGTATAAATGCCATGTGAGCTTTATCAGTTAAAAACCTTCTAGTTCAAAGCTTGTCTTTTAAAATTTCTTTATTGCCCCCCCCCCCACAACAGAAGTGCTTAATTTAAACTTAGTCAAAGTTATCAGCCTTTTTCTCTGTGGGTAGGGATTTGTGTTCTGCAGAATTCCACTCCTTTTCACTGTGGTTTTTGATGAGATTGTTCTAACTTTGTTTGCCCCGGAGTACAGCTAAGGAAGCCCCAGTGTTGCTTGCCTGTGAATCAACTCTTCTGTATCAATCCATTAACTTATTCTTGGGTGGTTTTCAAGTGGAAATGTGATTCCTCTCTGGAGCCTGCACGCCGTCTCCTGGTGTGTTGGAGATGGCTCTCTCTCTCTCTCTCTCTCTCTCTCTCTCTCTCTCTCTGTTGGTTTCTCATCCTGCGCCTCCTCCATGCTGATCTCTGTACTCAGAGGAGAATGATGGTGTGGACAGAGCCAGCAGCAATCTCGAGTGTCTCTAAGGTCCAGGGAGCTTCTGTCTTGGACAGCTGCTCAGTCTCTGCAGTAGTTCCCTGCCATTCTGCCAGTAACCCAGGCAGAACATCTTAGTTAGGACCACTTACGTTGAACAGGGAGAGAAGGAGTCTGTGGTTGAAGGGGCTGCTAAGTGAGTTGGTGGTTTGGTTTTTATCCCTGAGACTTGAAACCTGCAGTGCTGGAATCATTCTTTGAGGTTAGTGCAGCTGTCTCCAGTAGGCTCAGTTAAAGGCAGGGGAGGCAGGGACGGGTCCATTTGAAGGGGAGGAGAGGTGAGGGCAAGTGAGTGTCTGCAGCCTGTGGTGCCACTGGAGGAAGCACAGGGCATGTGAGGTGCAGGCTTTGGAGGTCGAGGTCTCTACTGTGAGATAGACCCACTGTTCCTGCAGGCTGAATCTGGGCAAAGCAGCAAAGGGCCAGGTGGGAGCTGTCCCCGAGTGCTGGTGCTGAACCCACAGGAGCTGCAGGTGCTGGGAGAGGCAAACAGCACCCATTTATCACTTGCAGATCCAGCTGTTCATGCTCAGAGCTGAGGTGTGCCTGCTCATCTCCCGCCTGCGCCCATGGTTGCGCCCGCCCCCTGCTGAATAGAGCTCGGGGATGCGCCGACACTGTCTGCGGAGCAGAATTCTGCAGAGGAAGCCTGCACTTGCAAATGATGAAAACAGACTGTCTTTCCCTGGCCTGCAGGCTTCCTGCGAGAAAGTCAACTGGAGCAGGGATGAAGAGGAGGAGGAAGTCAGGGACCCAGGGCCAGGGAAGCGTGTGGATGGCATGGCCATTTTTGCAGCTGGACTTGCCTCAGAGAGAACAGCAGGAAACAGTCTAGGTGGCCTTCAGAGGCCCTAAGATGGCCAGAGACCCTTATGAGTAGGGGCATCTTCTGTCAGGGTTCCCCACCCTCAGGTTAGAGGAAGTTGTGTCTGTCAAACAGCGTGTGCAGCCTGACTCTTCCCGTCTGACTAGGCAGGTTCTGGGCTGGAGAGATGAGGCCATCCTTGTGTCACCACTCTGTGAAGGCCTGGAGGGCTCCCCCGAAGGAGGGGGAGCAGCGTGAACAGGTCTCCCGAGGGAGGAATTTAACTCATCCTCAGCTTCTCAGCATGTGCTGTCCTCTCTCAGCTCCCACCCTAGTCCCTTCGTAGGGCACTGCCACTCCTCGAGCTGCTCCCGGCCTGGCCCCGAGCCTGTAGTGGGGGCTTCCATTGTCTACCCACGGCTACCGCAGTGCTGCAGAGGGGACTTCTTTTAGGAGATCACCGTGGAAAGTGCCCCCCTTCTGCCCCCTCCTTCCTTACTCACCTGGGCTCGTGTGTCACAGACTTGTGTGTCACTCGGGTCCTTGCTGAGGTGCTGATGGAAATTAACACTGGGCAGCAGCACGCCTTTACAAGCAGAAGGTTTAATTGAGAAGTTTATCATAGAAAAGAAGCACAGCGAGCTGCCCAGGAGGCAGTCCCAGGAAGAGACAGAGCAGTGGCTACCCCGCAGACAGTGACCTAGCTCCTCCACACACGCTGACAAACTTAATGAGGGACATATCCCACTTTTATGGGGTCCCAAAGGTGTGTGGTTAATTATTCATGGACTGTTTTCCAAAATGGGTAGGGGCATCTCTGGACAGGCTAGGGTTTAGTTTCTTTGCAGGGGTGAATTTGCACATAGGCCAAAATGTGCTTAGAGGAGTAGTATGTCCCCTCTGGGAGGAAATGCATTCTAATGAAGCTATGGTGAAATTTGGGGTCAGTTTTCAGGCAGGTCTGTTGCCATCTTTGATCGCACTGGTCCCATCCAGCTTCCCCACATGTCCCACTTTCTGATCTACAGTGACTTGTGCACCTAATGGCTACCTTGATTTACTTCCCTGCACTTTTTGTCCAGAGTTGCAGTTGCCTGCTTGCTTTCTTGCAGACTGTTAATGTTGAAATCCTTCCGATGTCTCCTTGTCTCAGATCCACATGTGTGCATATACATAGCCACAGCGATGTCCCTGCACACAAGTACACACCCACCCAGATGCATGCACACCTAGCCACATACGTGAATGTTCATGTGCAGGCACACACACAGACCTGTGTAGCCTCTGTGTGGGTGTAAGTGTGCACATCCCCTGCACACCTAATGTGTGCACACATGCACTCCCCGCCTACTCACACCTCATAGATCCTCAGTGTCTGTCCCTCAAGGCTTCACTTCCTGCTGGGCCCTTTCAGGCTCCAGGGAGGTGTGGCCCCACCTCTGACTTGCAGTGCTACAAGCAGACAGGCCAGGGCTGTGCTTGGATGCACTGGCCCTGGGTCTCCTGTGGGATGTCTGTATGAACGCTTGATCTTGCTCTGGCAGGGCAGAATGGTGTAAACAGCTCAGCCCCTTCGGGGGATATCCTTAGGAGGAAGGCGCTTTCTAAATCTGTTACCAGATACAATTGAAAAATGACTAAGAGAGTGAAAACAAAAAATAAAACTGCCTTTCTCAGGACAATTCCCTGGTCAGGCCTACAAGATTAACAGCATGGGCAGCGTCAGGCAAGCA